GTGCCGCATATGTTGACCGACGTGTCATTCCACCCGCCGAGATATCAGAGGCGACGGCGCGTGCGAAGCGCTATCAAAACGGATACTAGTACGAGGAGGAATTATGTATCAAAAAGGATAGTAAAAAGGATAGTAAAGGGATCGAAAGAGGGGTGTGGTTTGTGCGATGAAGTTTGGTGGCTTTGGATTGGGTACATGGCAACTCGATTCGACAAATCCTTCTTGACTAATTGCCCGATACGGTACCGACAAACTAGGCGCCCAAGCGTCAAGAGAGCCGTGCAACGTGGTCATTGTTCTCGTTGTCAACCATGCAGCCACCATAATGTACGCTGTTCAGCTGACGCGTTGTGTCGCTGCAATACGTACGAGCGGCGCGAACATGTGAACGCTCTCAGCAGCAAGCAAAACGTTGAATTTACACAGAAGATAGGGTGCCACCATGCACCCATTTTGACCTTAAGCATATTCGAATTCGCCAGGGGTTTCAATTGCTAGGACTCCGAGATCCTTGAAGTGTGGGCACTTACGTCGGTCCATAATGACCGATGCCATTCCGCTTCAGAGGAGCGAGAGGCGGTTGGTACTGGGGGTAGTGACGCTAACTTTGTCCACACTGAAAGCATGAGAACAGCAAGTCTCGGTGTCAACACGACCCGAACAACAGCTGCCGCTCGGATTGAACAGTGCAACCCAAGCGCCTGTTTTTCATGTTGCTGTCGCCATGTTGAACGTGCCGCCCATGTCGTCGCGCTCGACGTCACGCGACTGCCTCCCGGGTTTGACATGGTCCAACGAGGAACGACACGCGCTCGCCGAGTGTGGTGACGTGGCACGCTCCCAAGTCGCACAAATGCGACGCCGGAGCCAATCAAATGCGTTTATGGTTCTTTTTTAGCCAATCCAAGCCAAGAGCGTCGGAGAAATACTTGCAAGCTCTCGCCAGAGGCACACACAAGTTGCCATACACAGTCCAGTCCTGTACACAGTCCATGCATATCTCTTCGGTGGAGCTTCAACCAAGGAGCTTACGGACTCATTTCAAATTGAGTACAGCGCATCTCACGACTCGTCTCGGACAGGACTATCCCATCTTGATCCGGCGATTCGATTTGCGCATCACGCATTTGATTGGCCGAGGATGGGCTACTAGCCCAACTTACAACAATATCCCGCCAAAGACCGCCTGATGCTTATTGATACAGAGTGATCCTCAGCACATCATTGTCGGCGCATAAGGGCATGCATACCTGCCTCCTGCCCCAGATTGCTAAGAACGTACTAGTCTATCGAAGGCCGGCTCACGGAGCAAGCAGCAAGCCGCGAGCTCTGTCCAAATCTCTGCGTTCTCCGCCAGGTCGGATTGCCGTTGGAAGTCAAACGGATGGCCGACACTGTTGCGTCCGTTCAGAAACGACGCTGTCATTGCAACCACTTCGTAAGGTTGGTGGAGGAGTACGCTACTATGTCGAGCTCATTTCACGAGTTCCTCACGACCACCCAACCACCTCTCCACAGTATGCACGTGCAGTCGACGACCGCGCTTCTGGCGTTGATGGCTGTGACCACGATCGACGCCCAGACCACCTCGAACGTGACGGCACCACCCCGTGTCTGTACGGCACCCGAGACAAACTTCGACTACTACGGTCACGACATCTCCAAGGTGTATGTCGCGGGCAACCAAGCCGACCAGCTCCAAGCGTGCTGCGACGCGTGCGGCAAAACCCGGTGGTGCATTGGTTTCTCGCTCTCCAACAGCTTTTGCTATCTCAAGGCATCGGACGCCGGGCGCCGAGCAGCACCAGGTGTCGTGTCGTCTTTGAATGCGTATACGACATGGACACCGACGCCTACAACGACACCGACGCCTACACCGACACCGACGCCTACACCGACGCCTACACCGACGCCTACACCGACGCCGTCGGCAGGTCGCACTTGCGGCGCACCGATCTACAACACCGACTACTACGGCAACGACATCTCCAACTTTGGCACGACCGGTGATTTCAACAACATGCTCAAGCAATGCTGTGACGGCTGCAAGGCGGTTGCTACCTGCGGCGCCTATACGCTCGCCAACAACGTCTGCTATCTCAAGACCGTCGCGCTCTCGCCCCGGACTGTCAACGGTGCGACGACCGTGATTGTACCGCCGGTGCCGGGCACGAGCGTCCGCTACTGCAGCAGCCCCGAAGTCAACTACGACTACTATGGCAACGACGTTGGTACTGTCCAAGTGACGGGCGATGTGAACGCGATGATTGGTCAGTGCTGCGAGACGTGCAAGAAGAACAGCCAGTGCAACGCATACGTCTTGTTCGACAGCGTCTGCTATCTCAAGTCGGCGACCGGTGTTCGCTCGATCAAGGTCGGCGCAATGGCCGCGTCCGTGCCCACGGCCACGTGGTAATATCGGGTTTGAAAAATTGCTGACAAATGCCACGTTACACAATTGAATCTTCATTGACGATATTGACGTCAGCGAAAGAGTGTCATATTGGAATCGCCAGCCGATTACTACATGGAATGACCGTGTCCTTTGTCTGCAATATGTGGTGCATGGTGGCTTACTTACGCGGCTCGACTCTCTTGGCGTTTGAGCGCCGAGTTTGATTCTCTGAGTCCACAAATATTGGTCGAATCGAGTCGCCATGTACCCAATCCAAAGCCAACAAACTTTATCGCACTCACTCCCCTTTCTAACCATTTTGCTATCCTTTTTGCTCTCCAAGTGTCAACTCTTACACTATAGCGTGTTGCATGTCTCGTTCACACTACCCTTGACTTCAACAACTACTACGACTTGGAGCCACCTCGCGAGAAGACTGTACAGGTCATTGCAGGTCATCTGGATTGCAATAGACCACTGCATGACACCGCTTTGCAGTGCTCGGGAATGAAATGACGCCACTTCAGATATCTCGGCGGGTGGAATGACACGTCGGTCAACATATGCGGCACAGAAACGGACGGCCACGATGGACTCTTTATTTTGTGTCAAGATTCTTCT